CATTATCTCTGTTGTTTGAACATGCTTAAGAAATGTCTTTTTTTTTTCTTTTTTTTCTCCCTCTCTCTCTCTCTTTTTTTTTTTTTTTTGTGGTATTTTGTGACTCTGATTCCACAGGATGTAAGTGATTGGCTACATGTAGATCTCTGACCAAAAACAAGAATCCATGTGCAGACCAGCAAATTAGGAAGTGACCCAGTGTGAAAACACACATAAACAACAAAGAAATTTGAAAAACAAGGACTAAAATGATCTGTAAATAAGGATAAGGAATTATCCCCATTAGTGAGATTTTATGTCTTTGAGATTTCAACAAAGAATACAGTGAAATTTTAAGTTTGTAATAAGAATGGAAATGACAGAAACAAAGAAAGAATTTACAAAGAGTGCTTTAGCTGGGTTAAAAATGAACACTTGAACAGTGGTTTTCAACACTGTGTTATTAGAATAACCTAGAAAACTTTTAAAAAATGTCAGTGCCAGGTTCCCTTCCCAGAGGTAATGATTGCTCTTAGATGACACCTAAATAGCAAATTATTTTAAAAAACTCTCTAGGTGATTCTAACATGCAGTCCACATTGAAACGTGTATTAAATTCAAGAAATTTTTAAGCAAAAATCCCTAGATTGCTAGGCTTACATTAAGTTCCCATTTCCTGAGGCCTGCTGTGCTAGGGCATGTTTCAGCTATCTTTAACAGGAGACTTCCCAAACCGGACATACAAAGTGCATCTTTCTCTCATGCAGAGGGCGATTGGGAGATAGTCCATACTATCAAAAGTAACTTTGTTGTTATCAAGGACTTTTTTCTCAATGATGGGATCCTTCTACCAAGGGAGAAAAAGAAAAATGCTGGAAAGGAAACCAGCACTCTGATTCACCCAGTGGTGCTATTTTCCTTCTCTTGATTTCATGAGATCCCCTTTTCAAATGCATTTAGAAAATTTTCTGTTAAACAAAATTAAACACATTTCTTTGTTCAATACATTTCAGTCTTTAACATATAGAAAACCAGTCTGAATTTCCAAGGGAATTAGACTATTCCATGTTTTACAATTGTATTTGAAAAAAAGATTTTAAAAACAAAAATATCTATCAGTGCCTTTCAAATACAGTCTAAATATGCATAATATTAGTTTGGAAATACTATAATATACATTTTCATTATAACTATAAATATATAGAAAAAATCCCCTTTTATTTCTATTAGATTTAAATATTTCAGGATATCAAAATAAACTTTAAAGTCTATAATTATTTGGGCTACTTTTTATATTTAGTTATAATTTTGCAGGAACCAATTAAGCTTGCTCTATTTTCAAATAACCCAAGGGAAGCATGTTGCTCTTAAGCATGTGTGATACTGTATGTTCATCCCTGATGCTGCTGTTTAAACAGGAGGTTCTGGTTAATAAATTAAATAGGAGATATTAAGATATCCTGTTATAAGAAATTAATTCTTTGTTATGCCTCAAAGGTGACATATCTTTCCGCATGGAGAAGGACTTAAAATATCTCTTCTTTTATAAGATTTTGGTTTATGGTGCTTATTGCAATGAAAACATACTCTAGCATTCTGACAAAAATGCAGGGCTAATATATGCTGTGGGAATCTAATGACTTGGACATTTGTAATCAAGTAAAGTCAGAAACTAGTATTTCATTCTAATAATATTTTTTAAAAGCTGACTTTCTTAGGTGGTATGCTAACTACATATATTATAAACTCTTAAAGGAAAACAAATCCTGTATTGAATAAAGACTCAGCACATAAAGATATTGTGAGCCATGACCAAGAAAAAACGAATTCATAAACTGACATTTTGATGCTAAGAACTCCCAAATCAGAATTACATAGGTTTTCTGTGATTTTGATTTTGTGCACCTAAGGGAAAAAATCTATAGAAAGACAAAATTATTGTAATAGTTTAAAGATTAACGAATATCACCTGTCCCTTACTTTTTAAGAATTAAGATTGCAATCATAGCTCTTATTTTTAGTGGTTGTTCAAAATGTGCACAGTGTAGATTCAGTTATTTTCTACAAAATTTTCTTGCTTTCATATGGGTCTAAGGTAGAATCCCATAAGATGTAGTACACAAAATGTCCTAGCTTAATTGCTCATTATTTCACTCATTCAATCAAGTTTGTCTTTCTAACATTCGTGCAGTAAAAAGAAAAAGAAATATTATATAATTTATGACGTTTATCCTATCTATGTGTTCTTTACATTTCATTGTGAAAGCCTTACTATAAATACAAGCTAAATCAGCAAAATTTTCTAAAATTCTCATATTTTATGGTATATTTTTCTCATATAAATTTTTCATGATCAAATCAAATCAAAATGTTTGTCATATATAGCTGTAACTAGTTAACTAAATATTCACTATTTAACACATATTATGAATTAGACATTCGTTATTTATTTTGAAAACTATCAGTATAGTTAAAAATATAGATTTTTTGGTTACCATCACTGTATTTATTATCACAGCCTATAATTTCATCAAAACAGTTTATTTTTTTTTTATTTCAAAATATTAAGGGGGTACACATGTTTTTAGTTACATGGATTGCTTTTGCAATGCTTGAGTCATGGCTCTAAGTGTGCCTATCATCCAGATACCATTCATTGTAACTTTTAGGGAAGTCTTTCCTTTTTTCCCCCTCCCCCGTCATCCCTGCTTGTTTTCCACCTAGTTTTACTTCTCTCTGTGCATATGTGTGCTCATCAGTTAGTTCCAGTTTAATGGTGAGTACATGTAGTGTTTATTTTTCCATTTTTTAGATACTTCACTTGGGAGGATGGTCTCCAGTTCCATCAAACTTGTTGCAAAAGGCATTAGTTCATCCTTTTTATGGCTGAGTAGTACTCTATGGTATATCTATACCACACTTTGTTAATCTACTTATGAATTGATGGGCACTTGGGTTGATTTCACACCTTTGAAATTGTGAATTGTGCTGTAATAAACATTCAAGTGTACGTGTCTTTTTGATAAAATGACTTCTTTTCCTTTGGGTAGATACCCAGTGGTCGAATTGCTGGATGGAATTGTAGGTCTACTTTTAATTCTTTGAGATATCTCCATACTGTTTTCCAGAGAGGTTGTACTAATTTATAAACCCACCAACAGTGTGTAAGTGTTTCTTTCTGTCTGCATCCATGCCAGCATCTATTGTTTTCGGACTTTTTAATAAAAGCCATTCTATCTGGGGTTAAGTGATATCTCATTGTGATTTTAATTTGCATTTCCCTGATGATTAGTGACATTGAACATTTTTTCATATGTTTATTGGTCATTTATCTTCTTTTGCAAAGCTTCTGTTCATGTATTTTGACCACGTTTAAATGGGGTTGTTTGTTTTACTTGATGATTTGTTTGAATTCTTTGGAGATCCTGGATATTAGCCCATTATCGTATTTCACAGATCTAGAAAAAAATAATTCTATGCTTGTTTAGAACCAGAAAAGAGCCTGAATAACCCAAGCAATGTTAAGCAAGAAGTATAAATCTGGAGGCATCACATGACCAGACTTCAAACCATACTACAACTCTATATTAACTAAAACAGCATGACATGAGCACAAAAATAGGGGCATAGACCACTGGAACAGAACAGAGAACACAGATATAAAACCATCCACATATAGCCAACTAATCCTTCACAAAGCAGACAATAACATACACTGAGAAAAAGAAGCCTGATTACATAATGGTACTGGAAAAATTAGATAGCTACATGCAGAAAAATAAAACAGGATCCATATCTTTCACCACTCACAAAAGTGAATTTGAGATGGATAAAAGACTTAATTGTAAGGCATGAAACCATAAGAAAATGTAGGAAAAACTATTCTAGATGTTGGCTTGAGCAATGAATTTATAACTAAGACCCCAGTGGCAATTATAGCAACAAAAATAAGTAAATGAGATTGATTAAGTTAAAGAACTTCTGCACAGCTAAAGAAATAATCAATAGAACAAATAGACAACCTATAGAATGGGAGAAAATATTTGCAAAGTATAGATATGAAAAAGATAGGTTTTTTGATGATTGAAAACCTCAGAGAAATTTTTATCTATTTGCCTCTGATTAAAATATAAAATCTATTAATCCATTTATAATTTTACATTTTTAAAGAAAAACACTATTTTAATTTAAACAATGATTTGAATGTTTCCCTTCCCTAGTATAATGAAAGCGTTATGACAAGGGAGTGTACATTTTCTTCAAAATCAATATCCTAGGCCCATCATGCCACACACAGCAAAATACACTAATTACATATATATTAATAAAGTAAAATCACAAAGAAAAAACAAACTCAGTTATAGAAAGATCTATGTCGTATAGAACTTAATTTACTAAGACTTTATTAAATTGAAATATTTCATTATTTTATGTCACTTTATAATTTCTGGGAGATTTATACACAAATTTTGTTATGTAATCTTTTAACAACCTGTTGACTTAAGACTAAATATTATTTGCATTTTAACACATCAAATATGAAACTTAGAGATAGTAATGTTTCCCCCAAGGTACATATTTGGTTTTCATTTAAATAAAATTTATTAAATGTTAGTAGCAAATTGTGACCTAACCCAGAATCCTGGAGTCCTTTGCACTATGCTAGAGTTAGCACTCATGCAAATGTGGCATAAAGGAGGGGGAAAGAATAATAACTCAGTTTGAGTCATATTTTAGCAATTCACACATTGGAAAGTATGAATTAGATTATCTGCTCAAAACATTTATAAATTATAGAATATTTAACCTTGAAAATCATTATTAACTATTAGGTAGAATTTACATAAATAAACATAATCAGCTTATGAAATTCCCCTCTATTACTAGTTTGTTAAACATTCTTATATGAGTGTCGATTTTAACAAATGCTGCTTCTCCATCTAGTGAAATGATTATTTCATTTTTCTAAATTTTATTTTATTAATGGGATGAATAACACTATTCTGTTTTTATATGCTAAATTAAACTTTATTCCCTAGAATAAATCATTAATTTATTTCTTAATATTTTAATATATTGCCAGACTCAGTTTCTTAATACTGTTTAGAATTTTGCATCTGTATTGATGAAAATCTTTGGCCAATGAACTTTCCTTTCTTTTAATATCTTTGTCAGGTTTTGGTATCAAGGTAAAGCTGTGACGTTGTCAGAGGAGAATTCTCTGTGGATCACTTCCATTTCTGCCCATCTGGTGAGCGAGGTCTTGACTGTCTCTTTGTTCCAGACATCCATGTATACGTGCTTGTATAACGGACAGCCTTGGATATAGAAACACTGTCTTCTTCTGGGACAAAGGGCAGGCTTGTTACTGTCTAATACAAAAGATAATGTCTCACTCTGAAGCAAACAACAGGTGGTCTTGGAAAAGATCAGCAGACAGAAAGGAAAATGGAACAAAGAAACATTTAATTAGCTGAAAACTAATGAAGGAGAAACACAAGAGAATTAAACATATAATAAAATGGTAGATTTAGTCAAACATACTAATTATATTAAATATTTAGTTTAAAAGTCACATAGTCTAGATCATCAGTTGACAAAACATTTTTGATCCACTGCCAGATAGCAACTATTTTAGACATTTTTGGCAATATGACTGACTTCTATTGCAACTGCTCATATCAGCTGTTGAGTCATAAAAGCAGCCACAGAAAATATGTAACTGAATGAAGAGGGTTGAGGTTTAATATATTTGAATTTGTGAAATTGGTGGTGTGTAAGATTTAGCCAGTTGGCAGTAGTTTCACAACTCTTTCTTTGTCTAGAGTTTAATAAACAATTTAGTAAAAACTCCTTCATTTTTAATAAGTACTTTAAATATATGCATAAGAAAGCTTGAAATTTATAGGATGAAAGTATACACTATGGAGGTATTATCTATACAATATATTCTTTTGGTATACTAGTAACAAGTAAAATATACTTACAGATAAATTCAGAACCAGAAGTACAGGAATATCTCATAGACATTGGTGTCAGATAGTATGAAAAAATAGTGAATTTCTATAAACCTTAATGTATAATCTGAAAATATAGTAATCATATTGATAGGACAAAAACAGGAGAAAGAGACACATATGCAAAGTGAGAGACTAATCATTGTTCTCTATATTAGCAGTTATTTTATTTTGCTACCTTAAAGATATGTATGTTCCATTGTCTGGTAGCCCTTGGTTTTTCTATTAAGAAGCCAAATGTGAATCTTGTTTCTGTTTCCTTTAAAGAAATATGTTCCTCCTCCTCTCATCTGGATGCTCTTAAGATTCATCCTTTATCTTTTGTGTTTAGTAGTTTATAATTTGCCCTAATATGGCCTTATTTATAGTCATCATGATTTTACTTTATAGACCTTAACACTGTGGCATTATACCTTTCTGTAAACATTGCTTATACTCTATTCTCTATCTTTCTACTATCATTTTGGAAATCAGTTGTAATATGTTAGATGTTATTACCATGCTCCAGATATATTTTTGCTATTTTTTTCATTTTTGTAATAATTTTTCCTCATGTGTTTTAAACTAAATATTTTCTGCTGTGCTATTTTCCAGTCACTTATTCTTGATACAACTATATCTCAACTGTTCTATCCATCTATTAAGTTCTTACTTTCAGTTGTTGTTATTTTGGCCTCTGAATTTTTCATATAAGAACATTTTATATTGTCCAATTATCTTATTATATTATCCAGCTTGTCATTAATTTATTAAATTTATTAGTCAGAAAAATCGGGCTTTCTTGAATGTAGATTTGGGATTTAAATACTGTTCTTTTAAAGATTCATCTATGTCTATATTATAGCCTTTCACAGTTCTAACTGGAAACATTAGTTTTTTAATCAGTGACCCTCCTTTTTGCTGATCTGCCCATTCTCTTTACACTGGCTGAAGCTCTGTTCAGCTCCTCAGCCTCTCATTTTTTTTTTCTCGTATTTTCAGCCCTAACTTTTAGAATGGGAAATAGTAGATCTAAACACTTTGCTTCCCTTTTCTTCAAATTCTAGACACCTTAGTTCCTCGCTGCATTGTCTAGCACTCTGATGCCTTCACATGCATTTTAATTTCCAGTTCTGTCTATTTGTCTAGATTTTCTCAGTTAGATTGTGTCTCTAGCAACATTATCTATGAATGGCTAAAAGCAGAAATATTACTCAGGTTTTCGGTAATTGTCTTTATTGAGACAGAAAAAAACTAAAAATGTAATAGGTTGGTTTTTATAAACAATTCTGTCTTGAACAATAGGTACATTTGTACCTATTGGTAATTGTGTTAGTTATGGTATCTTTCCGTTAGAATTATGGAGCAGAGAACATGGGGGAATAGAGTAGAAACGAATAACAGAGCCATGCTATTTCCAGCAATTTTGTGAACTAGAAACTCTTAAACATGTTCTACCACAAGACACCACGTAATACTGTGCACAATATAACAAACATTGTCTTAAATGCATAACTGTGTTTCAGGAACATAAGAAAAATTTCCTAGAGTCTGGAAACAAAGAGAGAACTGGAAACAGGGCATGAGCTGAAACTGCACTATGCCTGCTGTCTACCTCTGCAGCAGAGAACCTGTGTTTTGAACAATGCATGATAATATTACCAAATGAAATGCATATTAGACAATGTTGAAAATAAATGATAAAATTACACAAAACAAATACATGTGGTGGAATTAAAATAGAAATTAGAATGGAACATTTAATAAATGCATATATTTGAAGAGAAAGGCTGAAAATTAATGAGCTAAATTCAGGCACAGGAAGTAATAAAAATACAAGCAGAACAAATCTAAAGGAAATGGGAACAGAAAAATTAAAAATTCAAAGACAAAATTAATAAGCGAACATAAAATGTGAGCATCAACCTAGCTAAAAGTTGGTCCTTTGAAATGAATAGAAAATCCTCTGCCAAATTTGGACAAGAAAAAAAGAGAGAAAAAATTAAATGATAGTCTGCAACACAGCAGAATATAAACAAATTTAAACAATGGATATTGCATCTTAATAGTTAAATTTGCCAATTGGAAAATTTCATCAAAATCTAGTAGTTAATATAAATGATTCAAAAACAATAGAAATCCTGAATAAAATACAATAATCTCAATATATTAAACATCTTTATATACTACCTGAAAGAAGAAGAGTTTTTAACAGCACAATAAGTTTCAACAACAAAGGAAATTATTAATGCATTTTATTACATTTATATTAAAGCCTTCTTGTTATAAAAAGATGCACTGAGGGATGTTACAAGCAAGTTTCAATCTTGAAAAAGTCATTGTTCATTTATAAAACTGATAATGAATTAAAGCTTAGATTTCAAATCTATAGGGAGAGTACAAACTAAGGTCACAGTATATCAGTGAACTCTAGCTGGGTAACAGAAACCCTTCAGTAAAGAAGCATGTAATTATCAGCAAAAGAAAATGAGAAATATCCCTGGATGATTTATGCTGTCACACCTTGGCTCTCAAGCAATGATATGTGTGCTGAGTTGAAAGCTATTGCACACCTTTCCACTTACCCTCCTTGAAGCTCTGTGTGTTAACCTAGCACTGTGGCTCCACAGCCAACCTGTGGGGAAGCTGGATTTTAATGTTAGTACAGATAACACATGAAAACAGAATTACATATGTAGTGTCAATAATCTGAGTTTCACTCTCACTATATATGATTAATTAAAATATGAAATAAAGCTAGCAAAAAATCTTGTTAGTGCATATTCCCCCATAAATATTAATAACAAGTGGCATTTTTAATGCTTCATGTCCCCACCATGAATTCTTGTTTTAAAAATTCCAGTGCTGCTAACATAGATGTTTAACAATACTCCATTCAATATTCAGTGGACTATACATTGTTATTAACTAAGCAAAGGTTTTATGAATGCTGAATATTGCGATAAAACCGATTAAATTTATAGATAAATTCTTAAATTTAAAGATGTCACAATCTCTGTGCTAATTCTTTTGACTATGATTTAATGAAAAGAAAAAACAGTAAGTTTTAGAAATTAACTAATACTGACTTCTATCAATATTTAACATGATTTTTCATTAATGGAAAGCTATAGTCAAAGATATGACAAATGGCAAGCTTATATATGTAAGGATTGCATAGAGATAAAATGCATAATTATGTAATTGTGAAAATTTTGTGATAACTGATCCATGATCCATTAGTCACTGCAGCAAATTATAGCAGTGAGAAAGCAGTGAAAATTGAGAGCCACCCAGAAAAAAAGAATAATAAATTAAGAAGTGAACAATATAAGATAAAGTAATTGATGTGGAAAATACTATCAGAGATCAAAATTTCAGAAAATACTATTTCAAAATGACAGAGTAGATTGAGCATATAACCTGAATCTGAAATTTGAGCATTTACACTTGTCCAGAAATATTTAACCAAAGATAGAGAAGGACATATAAAGTGTACAAATGAAAATATCATCTTTTAAATATAAAAGCAAATCTGATGGCTATCAATGAAAGAAAATTAGATTGTTAAAAGAAAGTTTTATCTGCATAATGTGTACAGTCACTGAAGATAAAGTAGCAAATGTTGTAATACTTTAGATTAAAAAAACAACAAATAACTATATTCCCAAGTTTATACTAACTACATACACCAATTGTGTACATGTGTGTTTGCACAGGTGTTGAGACCAAAATAGATACAATACCCTTGCACATGAAGTTATTAAAGAACTGCTATGTTTCATTACTTGTCTAAATAAAATACTCAAAAATAATTTTTTGAAAATTGTAAATGGTCATAAAAAACTCTTAGGATTCTAAAATTTTATGGTGAATATCTAAAAATTGATATTTGATATATTAAAGAATTCAAAAATGGGTAATAAATTTTTCAAGAAGTTCATTAAATAATACAAGCCAGATCAAAACTAAATACATATTATAGAAAATACAAGTATACAAGGTAGGTTCATAAACTCCTACAAAATGTTAGCATATGAAATACCATAAATTTAGAAAGTTATTAATATGTTAATTTTAAAATCTGAGATTTATTGACAAATAAAAATAATTTCAATACATGAATACCTCCATAAGCCAAATATAAAAACAACAGTGGTATGAACACCAGACACTGGCTCCCTCCATACATGAAGCCAGCCGACACCCAGCACTGCAGGTCTGCACACAGCCCAGCTCCAGACCTCACTCCCCAGGTGCTCCATGAGCACCACATCCTGCACACGGTCGCTGGTGCAGCCATAGACAGTGGTGCTATTGCTGCCCCAGATCCTAGAGGCTCAGTCTTCCATGCACGTCCGTGCTTTAGACCCTAGCTCCATGGCCACTACACAGGCGCCACGCATAAAATACTGGTGCTGTCACCACTGAGAGCATGCCCGCAAGACAGACCTAGTGTCAACAGGGATACCCTTGGCCATGATTTTCCTGATGTGTAATAAAATAAATCAGAAGGATCCAAGTAGTCTTCACCAGCGAAGACCCTAACAGCCCTCACTGCAGCTATAGTCACTCACAGCCTTAGTTGGTGGGGATCACTTCAGTATTCACCAATGTCAACTATAGCTGACAAAACTGTACAGAGACTACATCACTGCACCCTCATGAGAGTTAGACCTGACACAACCCAACCAGCCAGCATGCTACCACTCACTCACAAGAGAAAGCCTTTCGCCACCAAAACCAGTCCAAAAAGTCATGAAGAAGTTTCTGTTCCATCAAATATGCAGACGTCAACACAAGGCAACAAGAAACAAACAAAAAAAGAAGGAAACATAACACCACCAAAATAACACAATTTTTTTGTCACTGATCTCAGGGGAATGGAGATTTACAAATTGTCTGATAAAGAATTCAAAATAATTGTTTTAAGGAAGTTCAACAAAGTACAAAAGAATTTAATGATTTCAGGAAACAGTACATGAACAAAATTAGAAGTTCAACAGAGGCTGAAATCATTAAAAAAAGAACCAGAAATTCTGGAGCTGTAGATTACAATAAATAAATGAAACATGCAATAGGGAGAGTTACAGTAAACTTGATAAGCAAAAGAAAAATATCTATGAATTTAAGACATGTTATGTGAAAGTATACAGTCAGAGAAGAAAATGATAAAAAAATACATGAAGAAAGTCTACAGAATTTACAATATAACATTCTGAAAGCTAACATTTGCAATATAGCATTTCAGAAGGACAAGAGAAAGAAGAGACAAAACTTATTGAAAGAAATAATGGCTGAACTATATTTGACACAATCAATTTATTAGTAAATAGTTTGTTTATTTGGAGTTCTACAAGATACACAAGTTCTACAAGGTCCCAGTATCTAAATAAAACTCAAATAGACTTATGCTAGTCTTAATGCATTTGCGTAAAGATTTTATTGTTTTGGAGAGTAATTATATCTCACAAGTGCTTTAATCCCATGAGATGAGGCCACATGGAGGTATCAAGAAATTCAATATTTTAATATCTTATGATTATTTTCAATAGTACTTGATTTTTGCTACTTTACTTTTTATTTCTTATCTCTTCTACAATTTTTAAGTTGTGCTTTGGATAACGTCAAAATAATATAGGCTCATGCTAAATTTCTATTTAATTAAAAGTCCTCAAATTAATATCTGAAAATTGTGTTATTGTGAAAATTATTAAGCTATGTTATTTGACAGCATTTAGGTAAAAGCAAACTGTTGTAAACATTTATTAACTAAAGTTAAATAGTATATGATTAAATCAAAGAATAAATACATTCACGATAAAATGTTGCACTTAAAGACAATTTGATCATATTGATTATATATGGTTAACAAAACTGAACACACAGCCATTTTAATTCTCATTTTTCATATTGCAGTGTTTGTGGAAGACCAGTCACGAAGAATTTGTTTTTCCCTTATGCATCTCAAAAGAAGGAAAGTTTATTTTATATACAAAATCCACACAATTTATGACAAGCATATTTGTTGACCACTAATTTTCTCTATAGCATAATCCTTGGTGCTGTGTGAAATACACTTAAAAACATGAGCCATAGTCACTTTGCAAGGCTACTGTTCTAATTAGAAAGGCAAGAATAACATGAAAGAAAAAGCAGAAAATTCATAAACATAGAACAATACCTGGATATTCTATATGCTAGAGAAGATTCATTTCAGCTTGTGTCTGTCATACTCAAGGCCCTCTTTATCTGTGATCTGTAGAATAGTGACACATAAGTGGGGCTACATTCAGTCCCAATACCAGTCACGACTGACTCTACAACTAGGTGCAGGGCATGTGCTGTGTTAACACTGACACTTTTCATTCTTATAAATTAAGTCTTGTAGGTTCTGGCCTTCATTCATTGTTCATTAATTTCTCTCTCTCATTTTTTAAAAAAATCAATATTAGTAATTACTCTTTTTGTCTGTGTGCCAGGAAACAAAACAAAAAGTTGCTGCCCCTGTTGAGATGATTTAGTAGTGGTAGTGAAGAAATGGGGAATGGAGGTAGTGGACAGGCCATGTTAAACAAACAGAAAAAGAAGTGGGCAGTTGAAAAATTAAGATAATTTGCTTATATCATTTGTGGTTATATTCCCCATTATGTTATGAGATTTTTAAATGTTGTACCTAAAGTCTATAAATTGATTATATCCATTACATTCAAAATGCCATCACTGAAAATATTTTCATATATCAAAGTAATCATAAAACAGGAGATTTATAATATACAGTATCTTTTAATTAAAAAGTAAAAATATCATTTATAGAATTGGAATTAATAAAATATGCAATATATTAGAATGGATTTAACCAAATAGATATAAGAATTTAAGAAACTAAATATAAAGCCTCACAAATAATAGACACATATAAACATATACAAATGATATAAACCATATCATAAATGAGTTTTCCCATAATCCTTCTAATTCAACAGACCCCATAACGATTCTATATTTAAGCAGAACCCTATCAATGTTTGTTGTGAGTGTACAATTTTCTCCACCCCTTTCTACCTCAAAATTGTATTCTTCTTGTTTAAAACATTGCCACACTAGGAAGAATTTTTTCCTCTTGGGGCCATGGTGTGTTATTACAAAAATAGAATAAAAACCTCAAAAATAAAATGACGCTTTCTAATTTAATGAAAAATTGTTATTTTTTATTGTGTGCTGTGTGTGAGTGATATGTAACTCAGGTGTCACTGGAATCAAATTTTCCACTGCACACCACATGAGGTGTTTGTGATGATGATACCCTTACTGAGTCTGTTTTTGAGAGCTGAGCCTTCCGGCATTCCGCAGGCATGTCCCGTGTCGGGAGTGGACTCGGGCGTCCCGCGTGGGGCCTGCGCGGCGTTCCCTACGTGCGCAGCGGCCCCAGCGTGTGCATTTCCTCCGGTCAGATGCCAGGGCCCTCCGGGCCGCCCGGGCTCTGGCGGTGGGGGGACACAGTCTGCGGCCGGCGGGGGGAGGGGCCGGCGGGGGGGAGGGGATGCGGGGGAGGAGACGGGGGGAGAGACGGGACGGGGGGGGAAGATGCAGAGGAGGAGGGGGACTGGAGGGCCGGAGCAGGGGGGTGAGGATGGCAGGGAGGAGGGGAGGAGTGCGGGGGAGGGATGTGGGGGAGGGGATGAGGGGAGGGATGTGGGGGGAGGGATGCGGGGGGCGAACGGCGGGGGAGAGGGATGGGGCGGGATGGCGGGGATGTGGGGGCGGGACGCAGGGGGAGCTGCCGGAGGGGGGAGGGACTGGGGAGGGCCGCGCGGGGGAGGCCGCGGGCGGGCGTTGCGTGCTGACTGAGGGCAGAAAGGACGCCGGCTCGCTTCGCAGCGCGGCTTGCGGGGCCTTCCCGCCTGGCCCCCGCTCTACCGGTGCTGGCTTCTGAGACCAGGGCTGTGATCATTACATAGTTATTTCCGTTTCATTCTCGAGAGACAGTGTGCAGAGAGACGAGCGCGGGCCTCGCGGGGGCGGCCGTTCTGCGCGTGCGCGAGGCCGTCCGTCTGGCGGAGCGGAGGCGCGGGGGCGGGGGCGGGGGCGGGGGCGGCGCGGGGGCGGCGCGGGGGGCGGGCGCGGGGCGGGCGCGGGGCGGCGCGGGCGCGGGGGCGGGCGCGGGTTCCGACCCGAGCGACAGGCGCCTCTCCAGGCCCCGAACCACCGTGAGTGAAGTATAGCCCACGTGGCAGTCAGTGTATTAAATAACGTATAACTGGTTTTCATGGGGGTGAAAATCCAAATTACATGATAGAAAAACATTCAAATATCCAGGTGAAATGTATATGAGAATGTTTTATAATAATTTAAGAAAAGGTTTTTTATCAAATAATTAATGTTTAATAGCTTGAAAACACCTAAGTTACAACTCAAAATTGTGCAAATGCGTCACAGATAAACACCACTAGTGTTGTATGTACAGATTTGAAATAGGTTTTTTTGAGGAAAACTGAAATTGAATAATTGAATATAAACAATCCCCCCAATTCTTTGATTGCAACTTTGATTTTCACAGATAGTTTGCAGACTTTTCTTTGCGTGCTGACCAATGTTCAGTAGAGAACTCTTGGAGTGAAAGGGCAGAACACCTGCAGTGTGTAGCGAGGCGCTGGGCCGCGGGGGCTCATGCTTGTAATCCTGGCTCTCTCGGACCGCTTAGGTCAGGACGTGGAGGGCAGCCTGAGCAAAAGCCAGACCCCTTCTCTACTAAAAATAGAAAGAAATTAGCCAGGATGGTGGTGTGCACCTGTAGTCCCAGCCACTCGGGAGGCTGAGGCAGGAGGATCGCTTGAGCCCAGGAGTTTGAGGTTGCGGGGAGCTAGGCTGACGACAGGGCACTCTAGCAGAGCAATAGAGTGAGACGCTGTCTCAGAAATCAAAACAAAACAAAAAGGCTGTCATCTAGTAGCAGGATTGAGCTACACACACACGATGAATCAGTTCTCTATTAAATTACCAAAGCAGGCGACAGGAGATGAGCCTCCAGGATCACCTGTATTTGCGGGTCCTTACCAAACTTATGTCAAATGCCTTAAATACTTAAATGTTAAACACATACACACAAAGGAACTGAAATAAACATAAGTTATTATTTATATGTTCAAGGAATAAGAAAGGATTTTGTGAGTATAATGTACCAGGCACATAGGTGAAAAAGCAGATACTATTAATAAATCAGCATATGCCTTCTTTATTAAATGAAATATTGATAGGGTATAATGAAAATTCAAATGATTTTAAATATTGTGGTCCTTTTCTTTATTTTTATATTGTATATGACTAGCATACATTTCTCTTGCAATAGTGAAAATAAAATAGGCATTGCTTTCTGTATGTTTATTTTTAAGTGCCATGTCAAAATTATTTGTCCAGCTAAGTGTTTTTTTCAAACTTTCAGAGAACAAATAATTCTCAGGTTGCATATACAAAGGATAAATTTAAACATGAAAAATGATCATGACATTCTAAAAGTGGCAATTGCAGAGGAAAGAAAAATAAAAGCAATACAAATTACCAGAGCCAATCTTTTAGAATCTACCCAGCGCAGATTGGAATGGCACTTGTTCTTTGAAAGATTGTCCCTGTTTCTTTCCACTCCAGCCATATGGGGAGCATATGGTTATGTATCTTTTCAAATCTTTTCTTAAATGTCACCTTATCAGGAAACCCTTCTCTTTCCACCCTATTCTACACAACACATCTCTTCTTCAGTCTTTATGCCGTGAAAAAGCTTTATTTCCATGATAACAAATCATATTCTGGCATATTAATCTATTTGCTTATTGTCATTATGCTCTGCTGGATTTTAAATGCTAGCAGGGACTGTGCGCTTTATTAGCTGTTTTATTCCTCATGGGTACAAGGGTTCAGTAGATGTGAGAGGAGCTTAACTAATATTTTTGAATGATTAAATGAATGTGAAAATTGTATACGAACTGATCACATTTTAGTTTGGGAGATAATGTCATATGAATCTTTCAAAATATCGTCCAAGGCTTTTCTTGCCTTACTGCGAAGGGAAAGGTCGTCCAGTCTTTGATAGTAAGAGTACAGATGCAAGGTGACCGAACACTAGCAGTTATATTTTCAATAATTTGGCAGAGTATAGTCTAAAATGAGACTGAACAAGAACAAAGAAGCAAAGATACGACATAAAAAGATAAATTGCAAGTGAGAATTGACTTTCATTACAATCATACTTAAATCTCAGTTGTATGTGTCCTTGCCATGGTTTATTTACATAGACTATAAATTCTCCTTTTGCCTACATTTATTACATTTGAGTTTCTGCCACTTTCAACTAAGAGTCTTAACTGATTCTATTAGAATTCTATAACATGCTATAATAATGCAAAACTAAGGCTTTAAACAATCTTTAGAATTGAAAAGTGAAAATTAAATTAAGATTAAGTAAAATTTGTAACTCATAAAACCTTCTAGATTGAAGAAATTAAGCACATTGATTTTGTAAGAGAGAAAATTTTCATAGAGTCTGAAATTTGATTCTAATATCAACTTGTATCTCCTCAATATTAGTGAAAGAGTATATCCCATACAGCTCATAAAAGCTATTTTATGAGTGATGGAGACTGACCTCCTTATGATGAACTGACATTGTACCAACCCACTGAAAATAGGCCTAAGCGAAGCACCAACAACAGCTACCAGGAGCATAATAGAATCGGAAGAGAAGCATCCAAAGAAAAGAAAGAGACAACACAGGAGGACATAGCTACTGCAATCGTTCCAGACAAACAACAGGACCAGATTGGGTTGAAGTGATCAACACAACGGCTTTCGGAATGCATGAGATTAGGGCTGATTAGCCAACCAACTCATCATCCCCACTCTATTTTTCTGTTTCTATTCCTTGTTTTCTGTATATAACCTACTAAAATCCAGTAAGGTAACTTGACAACCCTTTGCTTGGTCTCGCTCCTTTCTCTCGGCCATCTCTTTCAGTCATGGTCTCCCTCGCCCCCGCGAGTAACAGAAGGTCCCGCGGGCCGGGACATAAAGGTTCTCACTTTTTCTGAAATAGATTCATGGGAAGAGCTAAGAAAATGTACCTATTGCTATTTATTGCTACATAATGTACCTATTGCTATATATTTCTTCAAATACATTGACAGAGTAAAGAAACTATAGAAAATTGTTTAGTGAAAATTGTTTCTTCATTAATCAGCACTAAGAAATTATGTAGAATCATTAAATCATTAAACATCCCAATTGTTAGAGATAAATGCAGGGATTTCCTGATTACATATATAATGTAAATGCAATTTACTCATCAAGACACTTTTCATAATTAAACTAATATTTCTAATCATGGGTATTTGATTTACCTTTTACTATGGTTTAGATGTGTTCCATCCAAAAATTCAGTTGTTGCCAAGGAGATGATATTTAAGAGGTGAGGCCTTTAAGAGGTGATTATGCCATGAGGGCTCCTCCCTCCTGAATAGAATTAAGGACCTGATAAAAGGGGCTTCTTGCTCTTTCAATTTCCACCATGTGGGAACACAGGAACCCCCCCCCCCCAGGATGCAACCCTTCACAGACAACTGGACCTACTGGTGTCTTGATCTTGGACTGCCCAGACTCCAGAACTGTAAGAAATAAATTTATGTTCTTTAGAAATCACCCAGTCTCAGTTATTCTTTTATAGCTCCACAAGTGGATAAGACACCTTTGTAGCTTAGACCTTCACATAGATCTAGTGTTGCACACCATAGGCATCTGGGAAATATGTCTTAAGAATATGTTTTGCTGACTAATCATCATTAAAAGCTAAAATTTTTCTGAACTCAATTTTAGAATAGTTTTTTCATTTACAGAAAAATTTCAAAGATAGTACACATTGATGCCGTATAATCCACGCCATTTCCTCTATTATTAACATCTTACATTAGCATGGTTCACTTGTTACAATTAATGAACCAATACTGATACACTATCATTTGCTAAAGTCCATACCTTATTTATATTTCCCAGTCATATATAATACTATGTTCATTGCAGGATTCCATCCTGAATAAGACATTTCATTCAATTGTATCTCCTAAGCTCCACTTTTCCTTGTTTTTGATGAGCATGAATTTTGAGAAGTACTGGTCAGATATTTTGTAAAATGCCCTTCTATTAGGATGTTTCTCATGATTAGACGTTTTGGGTTTTTGGAGAAAGATCACAGAGTTTAAGTGACATTTTCATCTCATCATATCAAGGGTACACTGTCTAAACATGACTCATCAGTTCTGATGTTAACGTTGATTACAAAGCTGTTTTTGTACCTACACCGTAAAGTCCTTATTTTGCCCGCTCTATATGATGCACTTTTGGAAGGAAATCACTATATGTGATCTACATGTAAGGAATGAGGAGTTATTGCCCACTTCTCTGAAGGTGTAATATTTACATAAGTTAGAGTTTTTTTAATAAGAGACTTGTCTGTTCATTCCAGTTATTTATCT